TTGTATTAAAAAAAGAATAAAATGAATACTAAAAGTTACTACTTACCGTCTTCTATGTAATCATTTTGTCCATAAAATTCCATAACTTATAACAAATTATTATAACATTTTATTTCTCCACAACGCAAATATCAAAACATGTCGTGCTATACCCGGCTTTAGTCACATCAAAAGATTCATACAAGATATATCCAGAAAAAAATATGTTTCCAAGTGACACACTTATTTCTTATTTATCAATCTATTCAATTCAGATAAATGAAACGTGAAAATAAAATAATGTAAAAATTAAATTTCACTATAACAACACGGCAGCAACGTTCTAAAATAAAACTAAGAAATGTGTCCAATGATCCCTTCAAAAACGACGAGATATAAAATCGCTTGAAGCCATGTTTAAAGACGCTGCGCCTTATCCTAACTTTCTTTGTCAATGTTTTCACATTATTACGTAAGATAATCCCATTGCAAACTGTTAAGATTAAAAACAAAATTCTTCAGTGATACTAGAACAAAACTTTAGAAATAAAAAAAAAAACACCACAGTTAGAGAGAATCGTTATTGTACAATAAAAAAATCGTAGCACCGTTAAAATTCCATTTCAATTCAAGTGAATCTTTCGTGCTGAACGATCTTAAATTGGAAGACATGTCAATTTAATTATTCAATTGTTTCACTTCATTTGATACAAAATAGAAATAGAAAATCAATCCTGGTTTATTGCCTGTAAAATCCACTTGAAAAAAGAGTTGGCACCGATCGGGAAAAGAAAGCGCAAAGAACGTTACTTCACGCCCCGATCACGGAAAATTCAAATCGACTTAAAATTTTCGTAGTAATAATAACTAGCCAAGAAATTGCCTGCTTCAAGTCTGGGATATTCTTTACAAATAGGCGTATTCGGAAGGTCGCATTATCGTGTATCTGTCATAAATTCCATAGCGGATAAAATTATATCGGATATTCTCTGAAAATTTTCTCTCCATCATCAATGAAACGTTCTATATAAAGCTCGAAGCGTACAAACTTTGACGTCCATTGTCATTAACTCGTGCATGTTAAAATTGCCTGTATATGTCCATTAAATTAAAAACTTCTATAAAGATCACAATCAGCTATTGACTCAATCACGTGTAAAAGTTCTAATTATTGGCGGCAGAAAATAATTACATTAGAAGCGCTCCGAACCTATCTCTATCAGTAGAGTGCTATTCATAAGCAAAGTGTACATTTTAATAAATGTAATGGTGCATTTACCGTTCCAATCTATGTTATTACGCTATCTTTAAGCTGTTTTATGTTTGTTTTCTGTGGAAACGCTACCGGGTGTTCTGTGGCCATTTGTCAACATTATACTTATTGATTCCATTAGAACAATGTCAACATTGGGTCATACCATTGTAACAGTACATACCATTGTAACAGTACGCTCGAGTATTTAACACATTAACACCGCAACTGCAAGGGTCATATGAATATTTAATGTCAACCACGTGGTTAATTTACTGGTTTTCCCGCCAAAATGAGACAAATCCTTTAAATTCAAAGTTACGAAATCTTGCATTTTATATTTAAAAAATTATTTTACATTTAAAATATTAAAATCAAGTTGTAAAAGGTAGGATTTCCGAACAGACCGCATGGACGTGCATCATGCTGGATTATCTGAATTATTGGCTGAATGAAGAGGACAGCATCAAAACTAGTGGTCAAAAGAACTAAAACAACACAGCGCCAGTGATATCAGATGTGAAAATCTATGAAAAACTGTACATATGTACTATGGCAAATAACCATAAATTTAGAACTAAATTTAGACTAGGACTTTTTATTCTTCGAAAACTAACATAACAGACACGCAGTACTTACCCTTTTTGTATTTGGCATTCCAAGCTCCCATAATTTCCTATTTTATTCCTTTCCCTTTAGCTTAAAAGTAACACACGTTCTTTTTGTCCCTTCAACTTTGAAATATTATCGCTGTTTACATCTATTTTCATTCACTCCTAATCTTTAACTCAGTAATTAAAGTTCATTAAAATACGGGGTAATACGACCTTCGAGGGCCAATATACTCTATCATTTCTATCAATAACTATTCATTGACAAGTTCCAAAATGTTTCATAACTTAAAAAAAAACTTGTAATTGTCAAATAATCACTCCGTTTACATGTAATTGTACCCAAATGCAAACAATTTTATGACAAACTTTTAATACAAAACGTGTTAAATGCGTTCCATAATCTACATTTTTGTGACATTAAGTCCCAATCCTACAAAAGCAAAGAACCTGTCCGTCTTTGTTAATAAAGGAAATATTTACTTGTATTCTTAGAGACAAACGCACTTCGATAAAGTTGTCTCTATGGTCAGTGAATATAAATAATACGTCTGACCAGTCGAAAATATGCGCTTACCTTTGAGACAGTTTGAATGAAATTCCGGTTCATACAATCATGCATAAAATAAATGAATTTAAGAAAAACTAAGAGTTGATTAAGAACAAAAGTAAACACCAGTTTTTAAGAGTGGTTTGGTGTGACTACCTCATTTTGGTTGGAATTTAGACATTCCATGCTAATAATAAATAGGTATGCACTGTTTCAATTGCTGTATTTTAAGCAAAGCGGTACCCAGATATGCCAGGGTCTTTCAAATAGACAAATGGTAGGTAGATAGAATTCTTTTATTTCCTACAATTATGAAGAGCAGAAATATTAATCCTTTTTTTCACAAGTTTCAAGATTTTTAAAGAACATAATGTCCTTAGAAATTACATTTTTGCTATTGTTTTCAATTTTCGCACTTTTCTTGAACACTTACCTAATTTGAGTATTGCAACCTATACCGAGTTCTGCGAGCCATGTTTAATTGTAGCGAGACGGGTTTAGATAGCGCGTTTCCAGACCATTCTATTTGAAAGAGCCTGGATATACAAAAAGACCGTCTAACAGATTTGCTTTTTACAAAAAGATAAATAGTATGAAGTATGTATCGGGATTCAAACCCAGAGTCAAAAAGATGGTCAAAATCAGCATATGCGCACACAGTCTAGGCACATTGGTAACAAACTTGACCTGTTGATTTGTGGCTTCAGCGCTCCAGCTCTGAACAGCCGACAATAAAGCAGCTGTGAAAAATTTACATTGCCTACCTCAATATATTTCTTGATTATGAATGACATTTGTGTGGCAGACCATAAAATTGTTTTTGCAAAAAGTAATTCAATTAAAATATATATGTACATGTATTTACAACAAATACATTTAATGTAAGCGTTATTTTGACAGATGAATCCACAAACGTCACAAAATAATTCGTTTTATAATGACGTTTATATCGTCAGTCAAGTATATATTTACAAAATAATATTCGAATATTTATGGATCGTATGAAAAATAGAATATCTTGATATACAAACATGTATCACAATCAGACGATACTAAATTAACATAGATAAAAAGTTCTGTTCACCATATATCACGACTTTTGAACTGATAATGTGTTAAACATAAAGAAATCACAATATATCTATTTAAGTGGGTATTTATGCAGGACAAAAACAATTTTTCATTGGGTGTAAGGGTTGAATGAAAAAAAAACATTCGTTTTTACTATACAATGCAATTAAAAAAGTGCACCTTCTAGTAATCTTTTGTGAAATGGAAGCGTCCAGATCTACTTGCAGACACAGGCCACACTCCGTGAATAAATTGTAGACGGGGTGAACCGTATTTACATTCTCACTGGTCACGTACACGGGGGTGAAATGCTGGACAAAAAGTGGACAGAATGCGGTAGATATGGCGTGGGTCGTAATGTCTAAGGTGGAGCTTTTACACAGGTTTGCCGCCAAACATGGATCCACAGATATACATACAATATATATTTAGCTTCGTGGTGGATCACACTCATGTATAGGGTAACAATGAGTAATAATCTTCATGCATTGATGAAGATCATATAAATGCTGTAATAATGTTGCAGTCTTTGACATTCTTTGATTTTGTTTGAGCTGTAATACTGTAGACTTTTGAAATGCATCCGCAAGAAGGAACGTGCCCGAAATTGTGATTAGCAAAATACTACAGATAAAGACAGTTTTAAATACTTGTGTTGGTTATATTTTGTAAAATCTATTAATCTACAGTTGTCTGACATGTAAGCTTAATTCTAAGACACCGGAATATCAGGGGAGGTTACTACAGCCATATTTGGTACATAAAGCAAACCGGGTTATCTGTTGTCGGTCAGCAGACATTTATTGGTCGTCTGCTGAGAAAATTGTCTCAAGTTTATAATAATTTCGAGAACTCTAAAGCTTATGTGAATTACAGATTTGTCTTTCTATGTGTACAATATTAACTCTTAATTACAAATTGCAATCGAGTAACTTCTGTTCCATGTCTACTTCAGAATGATAACTCCGGCGCTAACGCCAACGCCCAGGTGAGTAGGCTAGCCTTACTATTCTTTGAATAATCGAGTACAAATCAAGACATGGCCCTAAATGAACCAATGTGAAAAGACTCAAGTGGGAAGGGAATGAGGGAGGCAAGATGATGATATAGATTACAGATATTTGGAGATTGGTTTAATCCTTCCTGTGGCCTTGACCCCTTGACATTTGGGTCTTTGTTTTGAACGTGACGTACCTTTGGAATTCTACCATGCATGCAGAAATTATGAACCACACATACAGGGCCTGGTAATATACGTATAAATAATATATGCTCATCCCCATCTATTTTATGGTGGTAGCACAATGATTCTGTTCATGAGGGATAGTAGAAAAGTGCAACATCCCTTTAGCACGCTAGCACTGGCTTAAACTGCATTTAATCTTAACACATGTGCTGAAGGACCAGAAAAAATATAACATCACTTAGTTAAGTACAGGACAAAATTTTTATAGCTGCCACACCAACTATCATATACATCATAAGCTTCAACTCAAAATCAAATAAATAACTTTTAAAAGTATATTTACAAAAATACTTTCCACGTTTTAGGTTCTTTATTCATTCATACATTTATCTGTTTTAGTCTGTGGCAAGAAAGAAATTAGTTGCACACTTTAATAACATGATAGCATTAAAGCTTTGTAGGTACCCAAGGAGATACTTTAAAGACACTAGATGTCACTAGGGTAGCAGAAGCCCCTTACCACCAACCAGGCGAAAAACTTCTTCTCGTTTTCATTTGTCATATTAATTTTATTTTCAGTTTGCTGCTTGTTTTTGTTGCTTGTTTCATGAGTTTTTTACACCAGTATCTTGTTTATTTAAATATCTTTTTTTCTTATTTTTATTCCCTCTTCTGCTTCTAGAAAAAAACGGATCATTATTAAATAAATCCTGATCTACACTATCATTAACTTGTTTTTGTTTGACATCATTAGGTCCTAAATTTTCTCCATTTACAGCTTTTCCATCAAAAAATACAGAGTCATTTTCCCCGTCCATACTCACGTAAACATCATCAATAGAATCGTAGTCAAAATTGTAAAACATATCTATGTTTGTCCTTAATTTCGCTTTTTCCTTCAATTGAAACTTTTTCTCCTGCAAAATGGAAGCCAATCCCCAACATGTTCCATCACTCGTTTTCCGTGCATTCGCCACAAGATCCTCGCTAAATTTGGAGCACGCATCCTTAAATCTGTTTACTTCTGTATAACTTACATTTCTACATATATTATGGTCTGATTCAAACGGGTTGATTATACAAACATGGTCAGAATGAGCACTTTCAACAACTTTGCCAAAGTACGGGTCCATAATAAGATGTTTAAATGGAAATGTCCTGTAATACTGAAAAAATCCCACTAGTAATTCTCCTGAAATGGTAAAAAACTATTTATAGAATAATGTAAAAAACTATCATTCAAAATAACACGACAGAATTCATAGCATCGCAGCTATATCTACTAAATAAGTGGTTATTTCTGCGTGTCGGAAAGTTAGCAAATTTAAAATTCCAGACATTTTGTGTGAGGAAATATTAGCGGATCATGCAAAGGTAGAATTTAATGACTGGTTAGTTGATGTGTAAGCCAGTGGAAATATTGGCGGTTTTCATCAATTCACGAAATTCGCCAATATTTCTGCGCCGCTAACTTAACACACTCATTGTATGTCAACAACATAAACAAGAATTCAGAGTTCTAAAAAAGTAGGTAAGTGTGTCGCATTCACAGTCAAATTTTGATTTCACATGCAGGAGTGAACAAGTGGTCCAGAGTAAACCGCAGTGTCAACACGGTCTTTATTAAGGCTTTGGTCAGAAATAAAGAAGCGTCCAAATTTCAAAAAAAAAGAAGCTGAAAACTTTTAGTTTCTGTTACTCGTAACAATAGAAATCGAAAAGATTGGACTTCTTTGGACCAATGAAGTTGTTCAGATAATTTTTGAAGAGACATTCTACTAATTGCTACATGCAAAATATTCAAGCTCTAAGTCTTTGGGTTTGACAAAATTATATTAATATCTTCCAATAGATTTTCTACACATGTCACCAGTTTTGATCCCAAGTGCATCCATATGACTTTTGTAGAGTAACACACCAAATATCTTAGCTTTCACAAAGAAAATTTGAATGTGTTTCCCTGCATTTGTCTTTGTTAACAGAGTGCATGACAATTTTAGGAACCAATGACATGATTCATTAAACTATTGTAGAAATTTAAGAAGAAATGCTTCTGTCAAAATATGGAGCTCTTATAAATGTGTAGATTCACATAACTGAATAAACCACCTTAGAAATTCTTTTCCTTGATATTTTGTTCTTAAATAATTTTAAGTTTTATTTTGCTCCTTATTTATCTATGTGATCAAAGTGACACCTCAGGGTAGAACCAACTTTGAACATAGTTGTATGTTTCATATAATCTTTGTAGAGGCCCACAAAGGTGATATATCATCCAATATACTAGTATTTAACGATTAGGCAATGAAGTTCTTGAGATATGATTTTTAAATACATGTATATCATTTGCTTGGTGTATCCAAGTGACCTTATTATGCATCAGACTAAACTTAGAAATATGATTTTTGCAGAGGGCCACCAGAGTATCATTCCGATGAAGTTTGGTAAAACGTTGACCTCTGAGCACTTTGTTCTTAAAATAATGGCAAACTGTGTAAATAATTCACAGAAAATACAACATCAGCATTATAGAAACTGACAACTTCTCCTCTGATAAAGTATTTTAAACATTTGTAGAGGATAAATAGTAGTGTTAGTTTATCTGGTTTTCACACAAATTTTAACACATCTGTAGTCATCTCTCAGCAATTGGTCCAGTGAACAGGCTTTTCTGGATAACTAACCAGTAATCACCAATTCATGGAAGTTACAAACTGATATTCCCAGACAATTTCTGAATAACCAGTTAGAGACACTCAATGTCTGAGATCAACTGATCACTATCAGTTTCTCTACTTGTAATAGGGTTTGTGAGCGAACAGCATGGATCCTGATCAGACTGCGCGGATGCTGGTCTGGATCCATGCTGGTCGCAAACCCACTATGTTGGTTTTGTCATGACGCGGCTCATATCACAAGTCATGAACAAATCAACATGGGGCAAGTCCAACGTTCATTTTGAACTTATAATTCCCAAATCCATGCATGTGATATCTGGGCATGATTAAAAAATTCCGATATTTTGTCCCTGACACAAAATCCAATATTAGTGATTGAAATTTAGATGTTTGTCTTTCAGTGTCATGATAAAAAGTCAAATACAGCCCCTGTATATAAAATGTAAAACATGCCTTCAGGTACCAAATAAAAAATTCCAGATTATCCAGTTGGAAATCCTATTTTGGCCAATTTAAGTTGTCACGTGTATTGAAAGTCCATAAATCTAATATTTTCATTCTAACACTTGATATAAGTTTCTTCTCTTTGCAAAAACTTTAACAATTAAAAGCTGTAGATATACTTACCCAAATCTTTTTCAGGGCAAATATTAGTCAATCTACGTTTTGGTGTCCTAAACTTAGTCTCCTTCCATTTTTTTAACGAATCAGATGATCGACTATGCCTTTCTGAAAAAAAAAAAGAATATGTAAAATTATTATATGAAAATGTATATAAATATAAATGGATAAGACATTACTTTGATGATACCCAGAGAAACATTTCTTCTTTTCAAACTATAATTAACCAGAACTGTGTCCAAAGGACACGGATGCCCCCACTGTGCAGATGTGCTCGTAAACAAGAGCATGCATATCTGTATGTAAGATTTTTATGTGGAACTTTTTATTAAAATCTGCCATCGGGTTTAAGACTAGTTGCGTCCAAAAAATTTCTATATGGTATATAGTGAAAAAATCAACGAAGGGCCATAATTCTGTTAAATTTGGTCGCAGCAAAAATTCCTTCCTTTACTTCCATGTACACATTTTGGTTGTTCATCCCTTGAAGTTAAAGCAAAATCTGCCATCCGGTTTAAGAGGAGTTGCGTTCACAAAATTTCTATATGGTATATAGTGAAAAAATCAACAAAGGGCCATAATTCTGTTAAATTTGGTCGCAGCAAAAATTCCTTCCTTTCTACCATCTACTAAGGGTGAAACGGTTTACCGGTATACTGATATATTGGAATATGAAAAAATAAATTTCGTACCGCGGTACGATTTTTGGAAAACCAGTACTTTATAAAAATCATAATTTTCAATTAATTGCCTTCAAATTTCGTACAAATTTCGCATAAAACCTTTAATTAGCGAATTTTATTAGCACCAACATAAGATGTGACTAGTTTTGTTTATCAAATTGTGTGACACTTTACTTTCTATTTATTCCTTACATATTTATTAAGTTTCTACTAAGAATATATACATATAATAATAATATATAATGTTACTCCATCTTTACATCAAAACATATACACAACAATACGTATTGCAATATATTGCAATATGCTTCGGCAAAATGGCAATATATTGCATTATCACATAATACGCGGCGCAGGAGTGTAATAAAGCCATTTAATAAAAACGATATTACACTATTGTAATAACACTTTGACGTGACGTCATTTGCGCTATGTATATACATAGCGTTAAAGCGCGCTAATGTTAGCGTTACACTATAAGCGCGTCAATGAAAAAATACTCATTTTAACAGTTTACTGTTCTTATTTTATATATGTGATAAATAGAATATTATATTCATGTAGATTCAATACTAAATTTATTAAACGAGTTGAATAAAACAATATTATGCTCGCCAGAGGCTCGCATAATATGATTTTATTCAACTCGTTTAATAAATTTAGTATTAAACTACACTCATTCAATATCCTCTATATATGGTTTTTGTCGTATTGTTACACCTCTACCATCTACACATTAAGGTTGTTCATCCCTGGAAGTTTAAGCAAAATCTGCCATCCGGTTTAAGAGGAGTTGCGCTCACAAAATTTCTACATAGTATACATGTATAGTGAAAAAATCAACAAAGGGTCATAATTCTGTTAAATTTGGTCGCAGCAAAAATTCCTTCTTTACTACCATCTACACATTAAGGTTATTCATCCCTTGAAGTTTAAGCAAAATCTGCCATCCAGTTCAAGAGGAGTTGCGTTCACAAGATTTTGGGACATACGTACGGACAGATGTACGTCCGGACGGACAAGTGCAACGTTATATGTTCCCCACTTTGTGGGGGCGTAAAAATCGACCTGGCGGTTACTATGACATGTTGTTAAAAGCTAATTTCTATTTATAGCTATGGCCACCATCTTGCTACATAAAAAAAAACTAATTTAGCTTTATTTGTAAAGAACTTCAAAGGCATATTATGCATAAGTAACAAATAAATTTTAACTTCCTAAGAAAGGGCAAAAATGAGTGTAATAACATTTAGATGCTTGTTACCTGAAAAAAGTAGCACTAATTTTAAAGTGGAGAAAGAAACATACATGTTGGCACTTGGAACATCACCCATTATTAACCTTTTCCCTCATATATAGACATGTTGACGGCTTTTTGTCGCCCCCCCCCCCCCTTTTGAGACCTCAAACAGTGAAAAAATGCCCTATTTAGGCCCCCCAACACTGTTTTTTATTTGAGAAATGTTGTTAAAAAAAGTGACTACTTTTTTCGGTGCGGCCCCCCATCAAAATGATCCTGTTTGGGGGGTTTGAAGGGGTGCGGTAGTCCCCCTCATTGCCAAGAAAATTTTGGACATGTGACAGGCTAAAAATGGCCTCAGGTCGATCTTAAGGTGATGCGTAACCAATGTTGAAAAGCCTTTTACACTATCTCCTTGCATTGAGAAGTTGCAGCACTTTGAAATCAGTTTTGATGGAAAAAAAAAACAATGCAAAATAGTGATTTTTTGCAATTATGAGACGTCCCCTGCCATGGTAACAGGAAATTTAAGCATGCTGTTACAGTGGATATGGTTCAAAAAAAGTATTGAAGCATTTTTCATAGTTTTATAGCAGTTGGAACTTGTAACAGGAGGCTTTTCAATAAGAACTGCCATTTTTCACAATATGCTCATGGGGTAAAAGGTTAAATGGACATTACACCCTGTAACCATCCAAATTTGAAAATATTTTTGAAAAAAATAATTCTGAAAATGAGAAAAAATATCTATAGTTATCTAACCCATGTTGAGATTTTTCAGTGCTGGTAAGATGCCCTCTTGTTGCAAGTATGACAAAACCATCATTGTGAGCATAAAGCTCGAATATTTTGAACTCATGCCCGATTCTGACAAACTGTGCTGTTTCGCAATCACCTTTACTGCCAGGGTAAGTGGACAGAACACATCTGCATACATATTTAGTAGATATAAAATCTCTGCCGTGTATAATCCAGCCCTGAAACAGAATCATTTCTATTATACCTGTTATTTAAATAAAATATTGTGAATTCACTTAATTATTTTGGGCATGAAATTTGGTATTGTCAAAATGTCATTTTTGTGGGTTTTTAACATATAAATATTTTATGAAATAAAATTTTATTACATCTTTAATTTGTGGATTGACCTATACTTAACTAGAACTCTGTGAGTCTGATGTGTTGCCTTGTGAACAATATAGTTTAGGAGATTGTTTGTTTGTTTTTTCATTTTACACCTATTCCCAACAGTATTTCAGTCATATAGGCGGGTAGTTTCCTAACCATAGTTCCTGGAGAGTTACACCAGTACTAGACTACATTCCTCCGCGCTAAACTACCAAAGCATCTCCCGGGGATCCAACCCACGCCAGAGGGGTAACTGGATTAGAAGTCATCGACTCTGACCCCTCGACCACAGTGGCGGTGCAATTTAAGAGAAATGGCCAGGACAAAAAATTTAATATGAAAATTAACAAAGGGCAATAACTCAAAAAATAAGAAATGCAGAGCAGCAGTTTCTGTGCACTGCACTTCTTATCAATAAGATCTATCATCCTATGAAGTTTCAAGTCCACATGGTCCATAGCTATTATAATTTATGAGAAATAGCCTTGACAAAAATAAAATATGAAAATTAATAAAGGGTAATAACTAAAAAATAAGAAGTACAGAGTACCGATTCTTGTACATTGCACTTTTTCTTAAAGAAATCTATCATCCTATGAAGTTTAAAGACCATAGCTTAATACTTTAGGAGAAATGGCCATGACAAAAATAAAATATGAAAATTAACAAAGGGCAATAACTCAAAAATTAAAAAGTGCAGAGTAACGTTTCTTGTGCACTGCACTTCGGGTCATTATAAGAAGCATGCATACCAAGTTTGAAGTCAGTCCGACTTATAATGACTGACTTATGCTCCAGACAAGCTTAAGGGGACGCCGCCTTTGACGCTGACACGGCTGACAAAAGTAACCCCTATATGTCGCCTTTTTCAAGGCGACACAAAAACCACAACGATTAGTGCCTAGTAATTAATAATAATTATTTAGTACATCATCATATAAGAAAGAAACAAGAGCTCGGTTTGAGCCGGGTGATGCTCCCCGAATAGGTTTAGGACACAGGAAAGTACACCTCTTGTAGTTTCAGAGTTATGTCCCTGGAAAAAGTTCAAAGAGCAATAATTCCAAAATTTGGCAAGGCAGAGTTACTGTTCTTTGCACTGCACTTCTAATCAATGTGATCAATCAACCTACAAAGTTTCTTGATGATATCTCTCATGATTTCCGAGTTATGTTCCGGACAACTTCAAAAAGTAAAAATAAACAAAGGGCAATAACTCCAGAATTAGGCAAGGCAGAGTTATGATTCTTGTGCACTGCACATCTACCCATTGAGATATATCTACTTAAAAAGTTTCATGTTGATATCTCTTATACTTTTACAGCTTTGTCCTGGACAAGATTTTTCTAAAAGGAGAGATAATTCAAAAATGAGGCTTAACAGAGTTATGGTTCTTTTGCACTACACCTCTACTCAATGAGATCTACCTACATACAATGTTTCATCTTGATATCTCTTATAGTTTTAGAGTTATATTCCGGAAAAGTTCAAAGTGTTAAAATTAACAAAGGGCAATAACTCCAAAATTAGGACAAAAAGAGTAATTGTTCTTATGCACTGCACATCTACACATTGAGATCTATTCACCTACAAAGTTTCATGTTAATATCTCTTATAGACACTGCACTCCCCCTCAATGCCCTCTACCACTGTATGATGTTTCAACAAATTATCTCCAAGGGTTTTCAAGTTATGCTCCGGACAAGACAACGGACGGACAGACAGACGGACGGGTGTACAGACGGACAAGGCGCCGACTATATGCTCCCCCGAAATTTTTCGGGGAGCATAAAAAGTCTAACTTTGTTATGCGAAAAACAAGGCACAAACGGGCACCCCCGAGTAGAACCACCGCTCAGTAAGCTAGCTGGATAGCTTTCTCACATATAGACTCTGGGTAGGTCAAACATTCAATGGTGAGAGGCGATTGGTCAATGGCCTAGCGCCCTAAAATGCATTTATCTGCAAGTTTACATACTTAATGCTGTTGTTAAAGTGTTGCTTAACTTGCATCTGCTTCAAGATCCTCGTATACATGTGCATAGCATTACAAGAATTATCATAATCCTAACTTTCAAGATGGTAAATAAAACTAAAGAGCAAATATTTTACAAAAACATGAAATGAGCCGCGTCACAACAAAACCAACGTAATGCGTTTGCGACCAGCTGGGATCCAGACCAGCCTGCGCAGTCTGATCAGGATCCATGCTGTTCCCTATCAGTTTTCTCTACTTATAATAGGGTTGGTAAGCGAACAGCATGGATCCTAATCAGACTGGGCGGATGCGCAGGCTGGTCTGGATCCATGCTGGTCGCAATCATACTATGTTGGTTTTGTCGAGACGCGGCTCAAATATTTCAACTTACAGCCCATTAGAGCAAATATCACATGACACTCCTGTCTGGGTTTGAATCAATTTAACTATTGGCACTCGAGCCCTACTAATAAAAGCTATTTTATCAAATAATGAACTTTTGTCAAAAAGATGTGACACATGCCCCAATATTCCTTTACCCTGCAAGAAAAAAAGAGATGCATGTATTAAAAAACACATTTTCTTTTTCTTGGGTTTAACGTCACATCAACACATGTACAGGTCATATGGCAAATTTCCAGCTTTAATGATGGAAGAACTAACATGCCTCTCTGTTACCGTATATTATTTCCGTAAGCTTCTTGTTAGTTTCCTAACATGAAAGAACAAAAAGTCCCTGCTGAGATTTGAACCCACTGGAGTCAGGGACTAGTGGTTGGTCAAGGATGCCCTTGCAAAACACATAATAAGTCACAATTTGAAAAATTCACAGGTGAAAAACACATGACCTGGTAAACTGATATGGTTTCGGAAACCATGCACCCAAAAGGTTTGCATTAGTAATCTTAGGATTGCTTGCTGTGTGGGTTCAAACCCCGTCAGGGGCAAGACGTTGATTCCGTGAGCAAGAAACTTTACACTCAATGCTTAGTACTGGTTGGTTCTAGGAACAGATTATAAGTTTTTCAATAAGCTTACATAGCACCAGTTGATCTATGAACGTAACATTATTAGGAACGGTTTATTACATTGTTGTGCAAGTTATTGTGAACAGTCATTGGCTCACATGCGTGTGCATGTTATCAAAAACTTTTATAATCTACATGGTTGTGAACTTTATTGGGAATGTTGATCATCTTACATGGTAAAACATGTAATTGTGAACGTTTATTACCTTACATGGTAGTGCATGTTATTGTGAACATTCATTACCTTACATGGTAGTGCATGTTATTGTGAACATTCATTACCTTACATGGTAGTGCATGTTATTGTGAACATTCATTACCTTACATGGTAGTGCATGTTATTGTGAACATTTTTTACTACACATGGTTGTGCATGTTTTATTGTGAATGTTCATTATCTTACATGGTTGTGCATGTTATTGTGAACGTTCATTACCCTACATGGTAGTGCATGTTATTGTGAACATCCATTACCCTACATGGTACATATGATTGTGAAAATTTTTTACTACACATGGTTGTGCATGTTTTTGTGAATGTTTATTATCTTACATGGTTGTGCATGTTTTATTGTGAACATTTTTTACTACACATGGTTGTACAGGTTATTGTGAATGTTTATTATCTTACATGGTTGTGCATGTTTTATTGTGAACATTTTTTACTACACATGGTTGTGCAGGTTATTGGGAATGTTTTTAATCTTACATGGTTGTGAACAATGGAAACATCAACGTCAGAAGTGCCGTCTAGTGCAAATCCACATGACCATGAGCCAAATGGAAGAACTTTTAACCCATCTATTTCCTGAAATAAGAACTTGAAACATTATTCAGAACGAGAATTCATACAACAAGAGCTGTCAGTGAAACAGTTTGCTCGACTATTCTCAGTGCTTGAGAGTAATATGCTCCCCGAATAGGTTTTGGACACAGGAAAGTACACCTCTTGTAGTTTCAGAGTTATGTCCCTGGAAAAAGTTCAAAGTTTAAAGTGCAATAATTCCAAAATTAGGCAAGGCAGAGTTACTGTTCTTTGCACTGCACTTGTAATCAATGTGATCTATCAACCTTTTCAAAGTTTCTTGTTGATATCTCTTATGGTTTCCGAGTTATGTCCCGGACAACTTCAAAAAGTAAAAATAAACAAAGGGCAATAACTCCAGAATGAGGCAAGGCAGAGTTATGATTTTTGTGCACTGAACATCTACCCATTGAGATATATCTACCAACAAAGTTTCATGTTGATATCTCTCATAGTTTTACAGCCATGTCCTGGACAAGATTTTTCTAAAAGGGGAGATAATTAAAAAAATGAGGCTTAACAGAGTTATGGTTAAAAAAAAGTTCAAAGTTTAAAGTGCAATAATTCCAAAATTAGGCAAGACAGAGTTACTGTTCTTTGCACTGCACTTCTACTCAATGAGATCTATCTATCTACAATGTTTCATCTTGATATCTATTATAGTTTTAGAGTTATGTTCCGGGCAAAGTTCAAAGTGTTAAAGTTAACAAAGGGCAATAACTCCAAAATTAGGACAAAAAAAGTTATTGTTCTTTTGCACTGCACATCTACCCATTGAGATCTATTCACCTACAAAGTTTCATGTTGATATCTCTTATACTTTTAGAGTTATGTCTCGGACAAGATTTTTCTGTAAGGGGAGAGAATTCAAAAACCGGGCAAAATAGAGTTATGGTTCTTTGACACTGCACTCCCCCTCAATGCCCTCTACCACTGTATGAAGTTTAAACAAATTATCTCCAAGGGTTTTCAAGTTATGCTCCGGACAAGACAACGGACGGACAGACAGACATTCCAACATTTTGGGATTAGGAGCTATTTTCTTTGTTATTTTCTTTGTTTTCTTAATGGCTACTAGCCATTAAACCCTTTGATCACGGAAAGAACCTATTGTTCTCTTTTGTTCTCTTTACTGTTACATAGCCCCTAAACCCAAAATGTTTGCCGGACAGATGGACAGACGGACGTTCCAACATTTTGGGTTTAGGGGCTATTTTCTTTGTTATTTTCTTTGTTTTCTTAAGGGCTACTAGCCCATAAAACCTTTGATCACGGAATGAACCTATTGTTCCCTTTTGTTCTCTTTACTGTTATATAGCCTCTAAACCCAAAATGTTTGCTCGGACAGACGGACAGACGTCCAAGGCGCTGACTTTATGCTCCCTGAAATTTTTCGGGGAGCATAAAAACTTTAATAAAGTGCAAAGCTGACGCCATGTGTGTACAACAGCTCTCTCTATTCTTCAGACAGTTGGGCTTTAAATCACAACAACTTAAAAAGTCAGTCCTAGAAACATGTGTCTTCTGCCCTTGTTATGAAACATGACCTCTTGTTATAGTTTTTTTTTTATCAAGCTATAGATTCTATTTACATGTATGTTTTTGGCAGATTGGTTCGAATTATGTACAATGTTTAATTAACTTCTCACTCACCTAGCAAAATATCTTTGAATCTGTACGAGACCATTTATCACTTTTGGGGTAAATTTTAAACAAGAGGGCCGTGACAACCCTTTATCGCTCACTTGAGCATATGGTAAACATGAACAACTATTGATGATTTCTGTCTAGTTTCATCAGCATCTACCAGATATTAATTAAAGGCTTTTTTCTATATTTAGCAATGGTGGCCATCTTGTTCAGCAGACCAGAAACAAATGAGCAATTTTTGAAGGAGAATATCCAAGAAAAATTCTTGTATAGTTTCATCACTATTGCTGGACGGGTTTAGAAGGACACAGGGGTATCACAATAGCTCAGCTTGAGCACTTTGTGCTAAGGTGAACAATAAAATGTCCTTTATAAAAAAGCCACAATGCAGACCAAGCATAGACGCCGATCTTAGTCTGCACTGGTCACATGGGTAAATTCATTAGCCACCACTAGGTTCAGGATTAAACTGAACAAGATAAGTTTGTAAAAGTAAATAAGAAGACTACGTAAAGTAAAAGCTAATGTGAAATTGCCTGAATTTGGAATTTTAAACCTTAAAAGTCAAGGTCATTTAAGACGCAACCAACTGGTGTGTTATACTTACTGCTTCTAAACTTTTTTCAATTAGCATGCAAATGAAGAATTGCAATCTAATTACAGCCTCGGACATTGTCCTTGTTTTGTATAAATATCTTATCTGATCCGACACCTGAAATAATCAAAGTTATAAATATAAATAAAAGTTTCTAACAATTCATCATTTGCAGTAGCCCATTCTTTCTCCATAATGTTAATAACATCTGAAGAAATCATTAAATATTGAGCTAATCAGACAGACGGCTTCATTGAATAGTGTGATGTCATATCAACCAAACACCCGACCCTGTCTAATTATTCCTTAAAGTGCAAAAAGCTATACCTCTGTTGTCTGTAGTTTAAAAAAATTTCCTTTTTAAACGTTTATAAGAAATAAGTCCAAAATGCTCGGTGTAAGAAAAGTGTTGGCATATGTCACTTTGAGCAAATGACGCTTGCACAGCATCATTAACTAGAGCTATCACTAAATGATATTAATACCCCCGCAAGACTGCTTCGGAAATGAGGAAGATACTAGTAACAGAATACCTTGTAAAAGAATTGTAATAGAGTTATGGTTGTGGGCAATTAGAGATAGTTGTGGTTTTTATATGTTGCATTTCCGATCACTGTGGTTGACCAATTATGAAATTTTATTGTATTTTTATTGTAATACTCTGTAATAAGTATAAAGTTACAGCTCTTGAGCATTGCACTCTTCTCATTGCAATTAACCATTGTGTGAAGTTGCATTGAATTCCAATCATTAATTTTCAAAATTATGCACTGGACAATAAAAAGTAACAAAGGGCAATAACTCTAAAATGAGTCAAGAAAAAGTTATGGTTCCTGTGCACTGCGCTTCCTTTCAATATACTTGACCATTGTACAAACTTGTATTGAACTCCAACTAGTACATTTCATGTTATGCTCCTGACAAGGAGAAATATCAAAGGGCAACAACTCTGTAATGGAGTTATTGTTCTTATGAACTGCACTTCCTATTACTGTGCTTGACTATTGTATGAAGATGTTTTGAATTCCAACCAGTAGTTTTCAAGTTATGCTCCTCACAAGGAAAGTATCAAAGGGCAATAACTCTGAAATTAGTCAAAATGGAGATATAGTTCTTGTGCAATTGTGCTTGATCATTGTATGAAGTTGTATTAAATTCCAACCATTAGTCTTCAAGTTATGCCCCGGACAAGTAAAATGCAATGGACCGCAGAACCCACCGACAAACCTACCTCAGGACGACTCCTATAAACGTAGTAAAGGCTATTTATGCATATTTTGACCACTTTTTGGTAATTGACGTGGTTTGTAAGTGCCATTGATAATGTGTGGCAACTATGGTGACAACGTGTACTTACTAACAAACCATTTACTTACATCTACACAATCATTAAGTGCTGTACAACAAAATGGTTTATGCTCATAAGTCGTTATTTTTTCCATCAAACTATCCTCCTGTGGTATCGCCATGTTCTTCAACTGTTTTGTACCTCGTACACGAGTTTCAGCATTTGACTGTAACATTTTATCACTTGAAAACTCTATCAATACCTGCCGAATTAAAAAGAAAAGGCCTTCCTATCATGTCATGACATAAATGAGATTCAGAATACAACAAGATCCCATTTCTGAAAAAAGGGCATTATGCTATGCCAACACAATATATAACACTAAAAAGAAGGAACAGAAGTAGTTCATTTTTTTGTTTCCATACAATTAATCTTATAGCTGTTTATGACATAACAAACTAACATTTTTTCTACATGCACAAGGACCCTAGCTACTAGATAAACTTACCAAATCTTTGCTTTGAGACCTGTAGTTCTTGAAATAAAATCCTTTTTAAATTTGCCCGATTTTTCTTTCTACATGCGCAAGGACACTATCTTATTGCTAAACTTACCAAATCTTTGCTTTTAGAACTGTAGTTCTTGAAATAAAATCCTTTATTAATTTGCCCGATCTTTGTTTCTACATGCGCCAGGACACTAGCTAACCGGTCTTTGCTTTTCAACTGTAACAGAAGACTTCTGTCTGCTTCTTGAAGACGTTCGGTTATCATGTCTCGATACAAGTCATTCCTTTCTGCTATGTTTGCTTCATCTGTAACCATTGTTCAAAATATATGTTATCACAAGCTTTTGTTTGTAGATTTGTCTAGTTTTATGCTGATTTTAACATATCTTATGGTGAAACAAAGGTACAGAAAGGTTGTCATTAAGATTTTTCTAAAAAGGATTGTTTAGAAGTTGAGGTGGTCATCTTTGTTTTCATCACATATAACAAAGAGCGCTGTCTTAATTTCAAGGCAGCACAAAATGCATTTGAGACAGTCTTTTTGACCTTATGCCACCACTTAATGACAACGCTGGGTGAAGTAAAGACAATTTACAGATAAACCCCTATAGCATTCAAACTTATATTTTTGTGTGAATTTTGATCAATCAATTAGTAATTAATTTTTTTGATTAGCTTCAGATTTTTATGCAACAATGCAACACATTTCCTTAAGAAATGAATATGTTTTAGAACCCTATAAAGTTAAACTGATAAATAATTATCACAAAGATTAAATCTAGTTAGGATGTTTTTCACAGCCTTAAATGGGTCTCACAATGAAAGCATGTCATATATTTATACAGGTAAAATGATTTTTTTTTATTTTGAAGTTGAATACTCTTATTTTTATCTAAAGAAATTATATACTTACTTAGAAAATTCAATGTTGCAAATCCCTAAATACCACTTACCACTTACTTACCGTCAAGACAGAATAAGTGATCGTGGTCTCAGAACAAACTTGGCACATTGTTAAACTTTATAAGTTATGGTAATATGCATAAACTTTTTTCTTTTTTATCTGAATTCAAAAAATCATGTTATGTTATCATTTATTTAGTGCTACATTTTTTCTTCATTAACTTTTGCCAATAAATAAAGTTGAATAATCAAGATAAAAAACACAAGATATTGTCCTCAAAGAGTTAAACAAGAGCCCAGTTTGAACCGGCTGATGCTCCCCAAATAGGTTTTGGACACAGGAAAGTACACCTCTTGTAGTGTCAGAGTTATGTCCCTGGAAAAAGTTTGTAGTGCTATAATTCCAAGATAAGGCAAGGCAGAGTGACTGTTCTTTGCATTGCACTTCTTATCAATGAGATCTGTCAACCTACAAAGTTTCTTGTTGATACCTCTTATGGTTTCCGAATTATGACCCGGACAAAGTTCAAAATGTAAAAATGAACAAAGGACAATAACTACAAAATTTGGCAAGGCAGAGTTCAAGTTCTTGTGCACTGCACATCTACCTATTGAGATCCATCTACCTACAAAGTTTCATGTTCATATCTCTAGTAGTTTTAGAGTTATTTCCCAGACAAGATTTTTTTAAAAATCCAAAAATACAGAAACAAGAGTATTTCTAAACAATTTTGTTGTGCCCAAGGTACTAAGAATTTATTTTAAAATATGAAAATGACATTTACATTAGGCAATTTTTCTGTGTCCATGTGTTTGCAGAATTTATTTTTTGTGCGAAAAAGATGGCATTTAATTTTTCAGCGTATTTGATGCAGGATCTTACGTCCGGTAAATCCCTGCATCCCATTGCTTGATATCACTAATCTTTTTCTGTTTTTTCTAGCAAATCATTCCCTTTCATGTTTTGCTGGACAGTTATTTTTAACATCATGATTTTATCCAATATTATTTCTTCAACATTTATGTTTCTCTATCAATACAAAATCAGATTAACAGGGTCGTGGTTTATACGCGTATCAATTCAAATGAAATCAAATTAAAAGTAAATGAAAATTTCAAAAAAAAATATATATCCTATACCTAATGAGCCTTGAAAAAATCCTTAGTTTATTGGGCGCCGCCTTTTTGAAATCCTTTTGAGCTAAATATAGATATCAGAGCGCTTTTAATGAGCATCTATAATAATTCAGACTTTTGCTAGCAGACGCTTTCTAATAACACTTCAGGTGAAAGAATTATGTACAAAATCAGAAAATAAACATGCATTTCATTGATAAGAATTATAGTAACGATTATAGATATTAAAAGTAACTTTAACATATCCTTTTTTGATAAATTAGCACATTAAAAAATAATGTTAAAACAACATGTGGATACGAGATTAACAAACATGGCGGACGAGATTTTCCAAATGCCAACCCATGCGCAGTGTCCCCCCTTTACGTTCAGAGATTTTCGGAATATCCTGATCACTCCGATGATCGGTTGAACACCACCAATTTATTTGTTTAGTTTTCGGTACAAAATACCTGCATTTACTAATGAAGTGCAAGAAAGATCCGGTTTACATGTACACTAAACATGTTATGCTAAAATCAGAATTCATAAGAGCTTTCACCGCCCTGGGATGTACTATAACGGGATATGTTACTCGCGCTTTCTTATCAGTGCCAATGTTGGTGTCCAATTGGAATCGATCGATCGATAAGCGCCGTGTTTAAACGCCGTAATCACGGTACATGCCGGGTTGATCGGATATATTCTGTGCATAAATTTTCCGGTGATTTTGGGAGGTGGGCAATCAAAATAGTAGGAAAAAAAGGTTGTTGGTTTCTTAAATACTTTTTTCATTGGATCAATTTTAAAAATATTAATATTAATAAATATGAAACAGATACAGAAAAGTAATTTACCATATTTAATTATGATAGAAAATTTACGTTTTGTAATTAAAATACGTTCAGAAATAACTTAATCATTAAATTTCAATTATAGCTTTAATTACATGGTTTATATTAATTATAGAATATAATTATGTCAAATGTGTCAATAAACATAGAAATTATTTTGTATTGGGACTTATTATTTATGTAATTAAAGTGTACAGCTGCTATAAACATGTTTATAACATGTAATAATTTTTGGTTTAATAAAATGTCTGACCTTTGTTTTATTCATGTTTGTTTTCAACATGACCTTTGATAATCTTTGATGTTTAAACATATTTTTCACATATATTTGTAATTATGTTCTTATTTAGCTTTAATCTTCATTTTTGAATAGATTGTTTTCTAACTTCACACAATAATGCCCTTTTAAAATATGCTATTGAATGACAGTTTTAATTATAAATTATAACTCAAATTTTTCATAAAAAGATAACATTTAAGATGCAATGTTCATATATGAAATTTATACATACTGATACACTGCAATATGGCATATGGAAAATCGGATTTTGTTCTCTTTGAGGATATTGATTTAGATTTTTTTCTTGGTGAATTTACAGCTAGTGAATATGAAAATTCTGAGGATGAGGATAAGATAAGTGTAAAATCTAAAGAGGATAAAAGAAAAACTTATGTATGTGATCAGTGTGATAAGTCATATAATTCTGTATCGGGTATTAGAGGACATTTAAGGAATAAACATGGAGTTAAGAATGTTAAAGGTTAGAAAAACTTTTTTTATGCAATGTTTCTTACTGTGGTCTTTTTCAATTGTAAATAGTATAACAACTAAGATTCATATTTGCAATGGCCACGTCATACTGGTCATCAACCTGCATACCCATTGTTAGAGTTCCAGCTTCGACCCATTTGTCATGTGACATTTCTGTATGTATATACATGCATCGGACCTGTAGGCAATACTCTTGATTTTTATAATGAACCAGTGACGCATTAAATTTCTTTGACTCTTTTATTAAAGAGCTAGGTAGCATGAAGGACTACCTAGTTGAGAAAAATAAAACAAAAAACACCCAATCAAAATATTACACCTAACAAACGATTCATTTAAATATTTATTTCATGTAATGAATATTCGTCTCATGAATGTTAATTGTACAAATATAAACATAATTGGAATACAAAAAAGTATAAAGCTATATATATATAGTTGATGTCTTGAATTGCAAAAAAAATATCATGATTAAATAGTAACATTATCCATTTTTTTCACAATGAGATAACATGCGACAAAAAAAACAACACTTAATTAAATAGTAATAGAAGGGTATATTTTGGCGCAGAATTAATGTGAATTTCCATACAAATTCATGTGTGTTAAATAATGGAGAAATTCATGTTATCGCTTTTCAATGAAATATCATAACACTATGAGAACATTGTACTTTTACTCAAAACATTATGCCTCCAGATTCATCCTAATTTTTATGAAAATTTTGAAAATATTGTGAAATGAAAAAAAAAGCCAAAATATATAGAATTTAGAAATTTAAGCTGGAACTTTAAGAAATGTCATATAGCTGGTTTTGTTTTCTGTTGGATCACTTTAATATTTTGTCATTATTTTGCCTGAATATGGTTTTTCCAATTTTAATTCCTTGAAATATTTTGGGTCATCTGGAGATATACAGCTTAAAAAAAATGTTAAAAATATAGTTTTATACCCTTAAACATAAAAAAGTGCAATTAAATTGTTGGAAATGTTTTTTACTTTATCAGTAATTATGAAATATTTGAAGTAAATTTTAACCACATGAAAAAGGTAGCAAACAAATAATATTGACTGGTGATTGCATTGATCATTAAAAATGCAGTTAATTATAGATTATGATATATAATTTTGTAAATTTTTCAATCATTCATATGATAGAACTTCAAGGATAATTTAGACATTAAGGAGTTTCAGATTCCTTAAATTCATACAATTCATACAAAAAAAATTGAAATTTTTCACATTTCAACAATATGATGATAATCAAGGTTTTTACTGCACACATTCCAGTATTAACATGAGCAATATACATGATTTATTTACATCTTAAATAATGGTTACTGTGTATTTTATTTATCGAAATAAAAAGCATGAAAACTACCTTAAAGGGACTCCACTGAGGTTTAAAAGCCTAAAAACATAACATTTGAATTGAAATATACTTCGAAATAAATTAATCATATTTTATGCTTTCTTAGCCCGTTTTGTGTGAAAAGCGTTTAAATGTCTTTCATTTTGGGTCATTTCTTTACAGTTTGAATAATTCTTCCTGAAGAACTAAGTGTGCTAACGTTCTGAAATTTTGCACAAAGATTAGTGGTCTAAACTTACTTCAAATGGTCCATTTATCTGGAAAAAAATGTTTCCAGTCTCATCATGTCAAAAAACCTCAGTGGAGTCCCTTTAAGTTTTCATAAAAACTAACAATATATACAAGTTTTTCCATTTAAAAAAAAATGCACAAGTTTTTGAACCGAGACAAAATGACTATATACATGTACAATGTTTGCACAAAATGAAAAAAAAACAACTTTTCTTTTCCATTCAAATATTCTTTTCTCAAGTTTAATTTATTTGAAATATTTTGGCAGATATGCAGCTTTAATCATGGAACTAAACTGTGTTAAATGATCTTAATTTCTTATAAAGCTCTCTATGTATTGCAGCTTCAGCTTATCGCCTTGATGCAGAAAACAGGAAGACAAAGGTCAATTCATTTACAATGGATGAAGAACACTTCAGCAAATAGTCAAGCAGTTAAAAAAAGTTGCTATTTCAATCTGTTGTAACCTTTTGCTGTAAAATGACTTTTCTCTACTGGTTGGAGACCATCAACCGGACACTTTTGGAACATTTTTCTGTACAGATTTCATAATTTCTAACCTAGAGACCAAAAAAATTGACACAGTTCAGCTAGGTTCTTCTCCTAACTAACAAACTAGTTTGTTTATTTCTGATTTTATTGACACTTATATCTGAGGCTCGACAAGGAGGGTATCAAAATTACCTAAATTGTCTACACTACAGTACCATGTGTCCGGACAGATACGTACATGACGTGATTTAATTCAGATAAAAGCCTGGGTGTTTTGATTTTTGATTTTTAACATGATATACAATATGTCAGCAACAATTGGTGAAGTTTTGGATATTCTATTATTCACTCTGCAAATGAATACAGCTGATATATGAGGCCAGGCATTGCCTTCTTGACCCCCAGATTTCAACATCAACATTCTTGAAATAGACATTAAAATATCACCATTTACGGAGGTTGAAATAAATTTATTTACTTAATTTTAAAATAAATATGCACTTATTGTTGATAAAAAAGTGACTGACAACCACTGAACAAAGAAAATACTAAATTAAGCATTTTCGGGGCCGTCCGGGTTTGGTGGTTGTCCGGTTTTGGTGGTCCCCAACCAGTACTGATAAAAGAAATTCCCAAAGAATATTTTGCATCAGATCTTATGTAAAATTCCCAATTTGAGTCAAATTGATGGGATTTTTTCCCGATCTGTTCGATACCGGCACCCTTCCCAAAGTAGGCGAAAAACACTATATAATGAATTGAGATTGAAATATTATTATACAATAATTAAGGAAGGCAGGATATCCTTCGATACAGTCCAACAACACAGCTAAGGAATCTACAATTTTTCATAAAGATGTTGTTTTTTTTACATTCAGATAATAAATTATGGATTTAAAAAAACCTACCAACTTCAAAAACATGTTTTTTTCTACTTTTTAGATACCTAACAATGTAACTGCAAATTCATCAATTCATGGTTTTGGCCCCAGATTTCACAAAAAAAGTGTTTAAATTTGACACTGCACAATGAAAAATCATGCACAATAAATGATCATATTTTACTCTCTTGCTATAAATATGTCTATGTTTTAATAAAAAATACTATTATGAGACAAATTTAATCGACATATAACGTTCATTTTTTAGGACAAAAATGCACATCACCTTAGCATTCCGCCATTTTATTTTTCGCATTTTTAGTCTTAGTTCATTAAAAATGGAACCCGTAAAATCTCATTTAAACTCACTAAAGTTCCATAATCTATATGTTAAACCAAAGACATTTAAAGGGTCTTTCAAAATATTCCGCCAGTTTTCTTGTATTTTACTTATCTAAACGAATTTTGGCAGACAAAAATTACCCTTTCACGGCGATCAACACAACAACATCGGTTCGACCGAGATTTTTTTGTTCTTTCTACAGCACAGTTTTTACATTAGAAACTTTAAACACCATGTTAAAAATACATCTGATCAATGTCATGATACTTACAGAATTATTTCAGTTACTTTCTGAGGACTTCAACCCCATTAAGTAAACATACCGATCGATTTTCTGACCGAACATTTCCTCCGCTTTCAACTAAAATTGTAAAATGGCGGCGCTGATTCCTGATTGGACGAAAACATAAGGAGCGATAATCTCTGTGTTTCCCGTCCCCGTATCGTATGTTCCAGCACCGCCATAGGTAGCACCTAATTTCATATTAGCCAATTAGGATTTTAGAATATGGATTTTGCCGAAGGATTTTAAAAGTGCTCCATTTATTCTTGAATAAAAAAATCAACAGAAGAAAAAAAAAGTGATAAATGGAAAGTAACAAAAATCGGGCCGGGTTGACGAGACCTGATTCAGATTGGCTTGGGGCCGAATTGACAGGATAATTTGGGGCGGATTGACTAGAGGCCGGGTTAAAGAAGACTTGCACCGAGGTCTAAGCCAAGAGATATACATTATTAGATTAAATTACCCTTATTTTTCCCTTTTGCAGTTCTTTTTCTATATGACTTCGTCGTTGAATGAAAGAACATTGGTCGTAAGACTTTTAGCCGACAAAATGTCAAATTTCTCACACCTTGCATGGCCGCGGCCATTTTGGTCATTCGGAATACCTCGTCTTTTAAAAGTGCGAGAAAAATACTTTTAGCGAAAAAGAAAACAAAAAACTCTAGGCGGTTAATTATTTTCAAAGGAGTGATTCCAAAGTATTTATTTAATGCGCTTAGATATTATTGAACGGGGAAAGGTGCATTAGTTGCTCTAAAAGTCGTTCAATTTCTTCCTGCTACATCAAATATTGTCAATTATGTATGGGCTTTTTTCATCAATAAAATATTTAAAATATATGCTCTTTACTGGTTGGAGAGATAACTCCGACACTAAATCACATATTTTTTGCAATATCTTAATTATCTTCCTGTATATTTTAAATATTGAACCACCTAAACAAAGTTCAGTTCAAAGACTTTACATTATACTTCAAAAATTATGTATGAAAATTGAATCTGGTACTTCTTTGGGGTCCTGAAAGAGGTATACAAGACATGGTCTTTTTACCCCATAACAGTAGATAAAGTCATCACTTATTTTTTTAATAAAAAATGACTGGAAAATCTGCATCAATAATTTATTTTTACATTTTATATGTTTTATCTAGTTTTTTGTGAATATTTAAACAATTTTTCAAAAATATTTCCCAAACCAGTGGCCTGTGGTCAATACAATTCTAACTACCTTATCATGGAAAGGAATCAATATAAGTGTTATGCTTGTTTTCCAATCCATATATATTGTGATGTAAAAATGTTACATGCTTGTAAAAATTGATGAATAAAATATGTTTAAACTAATTACCTTATTGTAATATAGTAAAAAGAATGTTTTGAAGCAGTTCTGCCTATGAAAAGTTTAGGTTATTTATAAAAACATTAAAAAGTTTACCAAATTATAACAAATCATCACATTCTGTCCTGCTCCTATACTTTTAGGTGACCATGTCCTTGTTTGTTGTAAAACAAAGTTATAACAATTATATTTATCAAGTGTCGGGGTTATCTATGCGTCGGAGTTATCTCTCCGACCAGAATAGAAAAAAAAATAATTTGATTTAAATAAATTTTACTGAAACATCAAAAATGTGTCACTCATAAAATGACATTGTCGCAGACTTAAACTTGCACTACACCAAAACCCCGTTGTAAACTATTTTTATATTCATAATCTTACATTAAAAAACAGGGCAATAAATGCAGGGAGATAATTCAATGTGTACATGTGAAATCGCATAGTTACCTCCCGTAAACAAAGTAAAATTAAGACCGTATAAAAAAATACATGTCAGTAAAAGCACAGGAATTGACATTCTATATGCAAATAATTAAAAAATAACGGCAAATATACCCTCTAGCTATACTGTTTATTTATAGTATAGAGGGGTATATTTGCCGTTATTTTTCAAATATTTGTTTATATTTTTCAGTTATAGATAGAATGTAAATCTCCTGTCTTGGGGTATCTTAGGGTAGTCTTGGGATAGTCTATGGTAGTCTTGGGGTCATCGTCGGATACCCACGGCCGAACCATCAACATTCATCTGCATGTTATGTGACATGTTTATCAATCATAGGTATCCGACGATGTCTTGGGGTGTCTTGGGGTATCTTCAGGTGTCTTGTGGTAAATAGACCGACAGATTTCTTCTAATATAAAAATTCTCAACAACGTCTTATACAAATTATTGTACATTTTCATCAAGTTTTGTGCATTCTAATACATTTTGTAGACATGAAAAATGAAACTATGTGTTTGGCTAACCTTGATATTACAAGTTTTTTCAACCTCAATTAAGCTCCTTCAAGTTTAATTAAGTTTGATAATATTTCATTTAGATGAAAGATATCAATTTCTGAGTGCAATATTGTCAAATGCGCAATCCTACGTGAGTGATTACAAAGCAATCAAACGATAAGCACGTATCATGCAAGAAAATTTAGTATATTTTTCCACCCCAACATACTGGTAAAAAGAGAATTGATAAATAGAAGTAATTTTCCTGACATCATATCGTACTTTCAATGTAATTGATCATGAAATCCTTCTAAGGTTATTCTCACTTCACCTCTGCTTTGGCATGTAAAGAAGTTATCAGATCTTTGCGAAAGTGAAAGCAACTGGTTTATACTGGTAAACTGCTTGACTTCACAGGAACAATGCGTTGGCTAATCTGTGCCGAAAGTGAACGTGTACATGACCTCTTTAGTGATGTGCATCTACATGTATAACTTAGAAAAGTTGACCATGATCTTTTCCCGAAAATTCGATATAAAATGCTTGTTAAATTTTAACCGTCCGTGCACTATTACAGTATATTTACCTTAGGCTATTCTCCACAGTCTAGTTTAGTCCTTAATTTGACTAATTAAGATGAAATTTTAGAGAAATGACTTAATTATTTGGCGCTGACGGAATCTAAAGCAGCTTGAGAAGTGAACCAGGTTAATCACATAAAAAACGGGAATCTGACGTAAAACAAAAATCTAATTTAATTTTAAAATAAGAAATCAATTTGTATGGGCTGAAGAGGATCGTGCAAACTTATGAAATATGAATATTAAACCGAAAGGCGCGTCTGGAGAAAATGTACGATGTAAAAGATAAAACTTCACTATAAGACAAAAAATAGAAAACAGAAACATAAAATGACATCTAAAACTATGAAGATCATTAATTGATTAAATAAAGTAAAACAACCATACGAAATAACTGGTAGGAGTTAACATATAGAAAGAAATTGGTAGCATTAATTAATAGCCTTAAATTACCGTGAAAGTGTTTTCCAAAGTCTCCGATAAGTCATTCCAACGGAACTGGACCACTGATAAGTAAACGGCGGGATCCGAAAGATGGTGGATTTCTTAAACAAAATAGGTCAACTATACATAGGGAGGAAATATCTACGGCTTATGCAGTGATCAGATAACCTTGCTTCTTTGGCCAATAACATGTGCCTAATATTGTCGTAGAGCTTACAGTACATTGCGTGGAAAACAAGTCATGTGATGGGTAATTCCCTGCGGTCTGGAGACCGCAGGGTATTGGTACGCGTTTAACTTTAGAGGCATGGAGGAGCACGTGACCTGTTTTCGGTACATGGAGGAGCATGTGATCTGTAAACCGTACATGATTGGTTAATTGATCTTTTCGAAAACCTGGCTAAATACCGTTTGCCGGTACGTTACGGATAATCCTCTAGAACAAAAAAACTATTACGTGATATTTTTAATTTTCTATAATTATGTTACCGTTTAAGGTGGAAAAACTTGAATGATGTGTTTGAAAATTATCAATGTTTATTTAATATGTATCTCAAAATGTTACAAACAATATATTGTTTATACTGAAAATCTACAAAATTAAAATATTCGTAGTGGCATCTGCCATAATAGATAGAGATATTTTCTGCGAAAACTTGTGTGTTTACTTTATTTTTTATTTTTTTATTATTTTTTTTTTGCTCGGAATTATTCATTAAATAGTAAGGCCTATTTAATCATTTTCTTAAAAAGAAATAATTGTTTTATGTTCGACGTTCTGCGGTCATCAACGGTCACCAGTTTCCAAAGGCCTTCTTCTATATTGATCGATTATTGTCAACTTTATTTAATTTTACCTATGAAATATATGGTGCTATATCAGTCAAATATATTTCATATTTTTTTAAAAATAAATATGAAATATAAATATGAAAGTGGGCGGAGTCAAAACTCATATTTATTTTAAGGGACTTCTTTCGCCATTTTGTTTGAAAAATCTGATAAATATAAATAACGTTTTTGTTGAATTTTGTTTTGAAAACTATCTAGAAAGATAGAAAATGGTCTAACTAAGAAAATAAATCCGAACACCAATATCTTTAATTCAGTCATTAACGCTGTGTAGACGTTTTAAAAATTGTTTACGTGACGTCACAATCTAGCGCTAAATATCGCGTGTAAAACAAGACGATACTTAAATTACTGCGCGCTGTATAATTGCAGTTGCGTAGCAGGCAAGGGGGTTCCTAACCATTTTTCTTTGATAATGAAATTAAATAAAAAGGTTATTTTTTCGTTTTTCGTGAAATATGGTATATATTTTCACTCAACATGATAAAATGTCTCATATTTTCACTCGCCGTCCCGGCTCGTGAAAATATGTGGCATTTTATTATGTTTCGTGAAAATATATTCCATATTTCACTCAAACGAAAAAATATCCTCTTAATATTCCTGATACAAACGTTTATTTATCCCCCCCCCCCAAACAATGTTGAAAATAGTTAAATGAAATATCTTTTTATCATTAAAAATGTTCCCCGCAGGAAACCATTTTACTTGTTGTTGTCTTGTCAGAATAGAAAAAATAAATGCAGTGAATGTGTATAAATTGAATGCACTTATAATTTCTAAAGAGTAGTCCAATTAATAAATATTTTCACTAATTATGGTATTAACTTATCAGCTAATCAGTTGTATAATGAAAAAAAAACATAAGCACACCTTATATACATAGAAGATGATACTTGTCTTAACTAGCTAATACATCTCATCATTGAAGCCAGGAGTTCAATGTTAAATATTAAAACATCTTTTCGCACTTGATGAGACCTGCCTCGAATTTTCCGTTTCGTTTCGCTATTAATGCGGAACCGAATGCAAGTAACCAATCAAAATGAAGCATAAACACATCGCCATCTTGAGAGTCAAGAGTGCATTGGTTTCCTCATGAAGAAAAGTCTAACATATTTTCCATATGAGCCGATATCTGTAAATTAAGACAGGTATGAAGCTTATTGATAACTTCATAATCCCCAAGAACATGTAGCATTCTATATTTTTCTTACATTTATTTAGAATTTGCAAGTTTAGACTAGTCTATGCACCATGTTTTGTGTGTGGATCCCTCAGCTCAACACCCTCGGCCCGAGTGACGGTGAATATAAGGACAAAACACTGTACTTTACTCTTTCATTCTTTTATGTTAATTAAAGATTGCACCGTCTTGAACTTAACTTGAAATATTAAAAAGTCCAAGGCTATTTTGTTGGGTTTTTTTTTTGGACATTTTAACTCGTGAACTTGACCTCCATGATGTCCCAGCCAAAGGTCGCAAAAAGAGATTGAACACAATTTTCAACGTTCTTATAATATAATCGCAAACATTAACAAAGGATCATATTAGTTTTATCGAACATTCAATATAAACTTGAGAAACCCGCTAATCATACAACCGCATAACTGACAGTTTCTTCTAGGTATAAACTTTATAAAGGTATGTCTTTATTTGTGAAAAAAATAAATTGCTGCTTTTCCCCATAAAAAAATTGGAATATAATCTTTGAGTAGAATCAATATCTGATGCTAAAACAATGCAAATTTAGCCGTTTTGAAATGATTTAATGTCCGATTTTAAAATTTATTACATGAATGAAAAGCTTGTGATCTTAGCTTCGTCTCAGTTAGTCAGTACTATATATTTCAAAACTTGTTAGATTCTAAATGTATTTAAATTTTGCCACAAGTCAGACCATTTTACATATAAATATAAAATCCTAGACCTGATTTAAATAACAATGTCCATTATAAACCTCATTAATGGCAGCACCTGAAATGTAAGGCATTTTAATGATGTTCTTAAAAAAGTTGTGATAACTTTGCAATACTTAACTTTAGATTAAATGTAGTTTTTTAATTTACAATATAGTTTTCTCACTTCTGTAAGTGTAAGTTTAACAAGTGGATTTTATTAAACCTTTAATTAAACTTTTTGTCTATGATCAAAGATCTTATAAATAAATCAGCCACATAACGTATTGGTAATAACTGGTGAATCTGTCTCTGAAATTCCCTATATTCTCTAATGGTTGGGGACCATTAAACATGAGTGCATGGATGGCATTGAAAAAAAAACCCTCAAGTTTTATTTGTTTTTTTCTTTGTTTAGTATAACTTGTTTATTTTCTTTAGTGGTTGCAGATCAATCAGTACTTAGCTTTTTTATCAGCAATAAGCGCATGTTTCTTTAGTACTTTTAAGTACTTTAATTGACATTAACTTTCTTTAATAAACAGAAACAGTATAGGTCTTACTCCATTACAAGAACATTGACATTGAAAATTCTGACATCAAAGAGTGCAATAATCAGCTATACTCTTGCAAAGGAACCAATAGAATACTCAAAATGTTTATGTGTTATGTTAAATATATAAAATTAAAACACCAAGCCATTATCTGGATTAAATAAAAGTCATACATATCTGTCTGGATATATGGTAATACTGTAGAGAGGACAGTTTGTGCAATTTTGATATCCCGCTGAACTGGTCTCAAATGCAAGTGTCAACATAATAGGAAGTGTTTTTTTTTCTCTACTTTGGGAATGGTGCCAGTACCAGACTGATTGGGGGAAAAATGCTTTACTTTGACTTAAATTGGGAAAAAAATTTATGCATTTTTCAGCTACAAATAAGATTAGTAATCATGAATAAAGATAACTAACAGCTTCCATTGTCCAGGTAGAACTATTGTGTGGTGATATGTGAATATGTTGAATTTAAATGATTTCAGAGAAATGACTTGGCCTTGTGGGAACTTTGAACAGCCATTTTGGGAATTAAAACATTAGAGATTGGGAATTTTAATGTCTATTTTCTATCGGGAACAGTACCCTTTTAGAGTAGTAGTTATATACAGAAAAAAACACTGATAGGAAATAAACAAACTAGCTCTTCTGTTTGGATAAGAACCTTGTTGTACTGTGTAAAATTTTCAGGTACCTAGCTTTAAAATTGTGAAACCTAAAAAGTTCTAAAAAGTTTCCGGTAACTCCGACTGATGGTCTTCGACCAGTACAGTAAATATTCACATTTTTGGTAGAAAATTCCACAAAGGAACTTACAGAGTCACAAACTTACCAATAGAAAGTAACTATGAATATACCATGTTCATCAAATTAAAAGAAAATGTGGAAAGGAACAGATTTTTGAGGCTGACACATCCAGTTGTAAATTTTTAATTGAAAATGTAGGATCCATTTGATGATCAAATTTTATCATCAAAGTGCATTTACTTGCAGCAGGGCTCTCGGTAGGGTCAGAATTTCACGAGTCAAAGACTTTAAGACTCTTTGACCAAAGTTTTCACAAGTCAAATCAGTTTTTTCTTGTGTCATTTGACTACATGAATTATTTTTATGTTTAAAAAGATTATTGTATAATGTATGCCAGGGAAGTCATTTTTCATTGAAAACACGGAAAAAAAATGCCTAGCTATATTCCTTCTATAACATTATATACATATGTAGGATTTGGTTGATTGAAAGTAATGATTGATGCATAGCTAAAAATTCCCATAAGGCATATGGCAAATTGACTCTTGTGCAGATTTTGTCATGAGTCAATTGTGTGCATTTCCTAATTTTCACAAGTCAAAACCCGGATACCCGTGTCAGTCGAGAGCCCTGCTTATAGAATTGAAGACCTTTGTCCATTTAGAAATGATAGGTACAGTAAAGAAGTTTGCAACTGTGTTAAAGGTAGGAAAATGGAGAAGAAATTAGTAAAAAAAAGGTGCAATAGTGAATCATTCACAGCGTGTCCAAAGAGACATAATATATAATTTCATTGATAAATATTTGTGTATTTCATTTTTTCAGGTATTCTAGATGACCTTTACAACTCGAGCATTACAGATCTTATTGCTTAACACTTTAGAAATGCTGGATTAACATGTCTCAGGTAATTTAATTTTTATGTGTTACATAAATCATTTTCATTAACAGTGGTTATATTAATTTGATGACCTAGGAAAATATGGAATTTTACATACATTGTTGTATGTATTATCAACATTTTTTTTCCAGATCATAATAAATAAATTTAAATGTTGTTTTTCATTAGAAGCCATATTTAAATGTATGCTCAAGACTTTTTCAACAAATTTGTCATGTTTGGAAAAGTTTTGTTATTTTGGCCTCTTTCCTTTCTGTGTGATAAATCGTATGTGTTGATTGTTGTAGACTGATATTATAGTGAATTGTACTTATCAATACTTTTCCTCTTTTAAAGTGGTTCACCTTCTAAATTAGTGTTTCAGAAAATTTAAAAATACTTTTAATTATTACCATTTGTTACCAATATGGTCAAGTCTACAAGCTAAGTGATTTGTCATTTTACTTAGCCCAAAGCACTTGCTATCAACAGAAGTTACATGTAACTTGTCAAAATATGCATATATAAATAAGTTTTTCTCCCGTAGACATAAGGTGAATAAATTAATAATTTAGAAAAATAAATGCTGTCAAATATTGCATGAATCATGCAAATTTATAATGTCACACAACATTTTGTAAATTTTGACCAATAATGATAGCCAATTAATAAATATAAATGAATTTATATGTGTAAGGCCATTTACACAATTCTTTTAGCGCATATTTTATGAAAAGTTTTTCATTATATACATGTAATTGTATACTTTAGCAATATTTGAAAGTTTGAAATTTTATAGACATCTTTTTTTCGTAAATTTATAAGCAAAATATTTGGTGAGAGAGAAAAAAACGATCCATATGCAGCACCATGTTAGGTTAGCCTGAATGCTATATTCACTGTCGGACAGCACTGGGTTTTAGTTCATCACTTGAGAACTTTTAGTGAGGAAAAAGCAAGTTTTGGAAAATTCTAAATTTGACCAGGACTATTAAAATAATCATTTCAGTATAATACTGATTTTAACCCAAGATTGATGCCAGGTATTTGTGCTTTTGATCCAACAGATCTATGCATTATGCACATGCAGTATGCACATTCATTATCTTAATTGTGACATGTGGGACTGGCTTAAATATATTCCTTTATTGAGAAAACAGAATTTTTGATTATTCAGCTGAAGTGTTTGGGGGTATATTTTAAGATTAATAACAAGTTTACAGTGCATGACCAGATGTTTTATTGAAACAGACATAAGTAGAGAGAACAGAAGAAAGATTTTATTTTGCCCTCAACACTTCCACTGCTCTTGCATATTTTATTAGTTTAACACTATATACTATAGTCTCATGATTGTGCTAGATAATTGATTGAAACTGGGGAAAAGCCTGGCTTTTTTTTAAGACATGCATTGCAGAGTACTGCCAGCACAAGTTAAACACTTTAAGTTTTAAATAACTTACAGAAACATGGTTTTAAATTTGATAAATTTAAGTAAAGTGAGATGTATGGACAGAAGGCATATTTGGGTGAAATTATATGTGTAGAAAAATGTTCCTACTATCTAAAAGAAATATTTTCTTTCTAAATAAACAGCTAGCTTTAGCTTGGAATATGGCAAGCATTTATATAATTTGTAAACCATGTTAGAAAATCATTCAGATTTTGTTTAGATGTTTTACTTGATTTGTAGAATACACTTTCAAGTACTTTAAAGTTAAAGTTCTTGTTTCTATTGTCATTGATTGAAATTGCATAAATAAATGGAATTGCCATGGGTATGGATTCCATATTGAAGTTTTTGAGCAAGTTGCAAGCTAGCCTCTTGCAAGTTTCATACCGGTAGTTTTATTCAACATGTTAAAAAAAAAATTTTAATCAAATTTTCACAAATTTAGTATCTATTAACACATACCCCAAAAATTTGGAGATAACAAAACATACATGTACATGTATTGTATCCTGGAGTAACTGACTTTACAAACTTTATAAAATTGTCTCACATGTGCTAAATTAGGCTCATTTGCATATATCAAATGTGGCTGTGCCATACCATTTTTACTTTGTCAGGAAAAAGTAAAAATTGGCTCATGTATGTTTAGTGAGCATATTTTTAAAATGTCCTGAAATCAACACAATGTTCTTTCTGATTTGGTGATGTATCCTTCCTTTGATCAGGTAAAGCTTATATATTATATAATACTAAGGCGACAGGCTGAGTGCACCTAAAGTGTATTATTTCTGGCACCTAATAAGATCAACTGTTGACATTTACATGTAAGGAAGATGGGTTGTTTCCTCTTTATATAAAAAAAATCTGAAGCCCTTTTACAGGACTTGAACCTATAGCAATTAGGGTTGAGTATTGTATAATTTCTCATTTAATGGATAAGCATGCACTAGGTGTAAGCTGCTAGCATGCGTTTTGGTCGTAAATTGTAAAATACAGACATTTAGTACATGTTGTTTATTCCCCACAGACAAGATTGTGTGAAATATTTTGCATTGGCGAATACTCCAAATAGTATAATGATGTATTGTCAGGCAAAAACTGGGCAAGCACCTGTTATTACTGGCATCATTAAGCAATCTTAGACTTAAATAATTTGCTGCTTGTCTGTGGGTTGTGAAAAAAAATATCATTAAATAGTAATTTTACCTATCATGTCAGAAACTGAAAGTATTGGTCATTTGTAACAGTCTCTTGTCATGCCATTATAATTAAAGTAGGAAGGGTACTTTGTTTTGCTTGAGTTCTGGTATTTATTGATCTGAAACAAGTCTGAAAATTTTACTGTGGCGTTTCCTGGCACCATTTACAGTTGAACTGGATACCTGTATGTTTGAGTGGCCAATAGTAAGTTCCATCCTAACCTAGTATTGATTTTAAGTCTTTGACCTTAGGAAAAAGTTAATTATATTTCTATATTTTAATGAGTGTAAGCTCACTTTCAGGGGCTGATAATTAAAAAAAAAACTAGGATGAAAACGTCCAATACTTTATCATCAATTTGTTTTAAGTATTATTCTATTTAGTCATGCAAAGTGTAAAAAGGTTCGCTGTGTTAGTTGAAATTTTCGTTCTTTGACTTTGTAAAAAAGACTTTGTAAAAAATTGCACTACTCCTGGAAACATCTTTAATTAGGGACACACCTAGAAGAAAAATATTGTCGGCTATGAACATTCTAATATCTATTTTCTACAGTGTAGTTAGCAATATTTCTAGCAATATTTCTAAGTATCTTATTGTGATCAATTTTATTCCAACCAGCAGAAGTTTTGTATCTTGAGACTAAATTTCTAATTTTGCTCAATTCAGAAAATTGTCGGTATTCTTTTTTTTCCCTTCGTTTTAGTAATTCTTAGGATAATTTCATTCATTGTGCAAGTAGGTGTTAGAAAGGGTGATGATAGTATGATAGGCTATATTTAGACGTATGTCTGTTGGGACTCGCAATGTCTGATTGAGATACATATAACTTGCATATAGTAGGGTAACTGTAAGTCGAAACTTTTGTGCTTTAATTTGATTAGGAACTGAGCAGAGATATATACCTATATTTATATCTATATACCAAATCTGTACAGAAATCAATTGAAATATAATCTGGACATTATGATGATTACATAGAAATTTATCAATGATTCAAATTGGTTGCGGAGGATTTCCGACATGGAGAAATGGTCATTTATTGGAATATGACTGTTTGACTGTTAGCAAGTTGAATATTGTTCAGGAATCGTGTTATCAGTATTTGTTCAAATTGAAGGGATCTATGAATCTTATCTCTAGTTCAAAGGAAGATAAGCTTTAAATTCTTGGCTATTTTTCAGCAGAAATGTGTAATTAAAAGATGGGTAGTTAGACAAAAGACAGTGGCAATGCCATTAAGATCTTGTTTATTGTTGCTTGTGTAAAATCGTGATGGATTTATGGTTATGATACATATTGCAATTTTTAGTAATAGAAATTTTCATGCATACATACATGGTTATCGACTGTCAGTAAATTATTTATACTTGTGCATGGATATACTTACATATACACATGATGAATCATTATATTTAAAAATATATTACTCAAAGATGATACTGTCACAGATATAGATGCAATTGAAAAACTTCTTACACATAATTGTAGAATTTATTTTGCTACATACTATTTAACTTTGTTTTCTTATCTCTACCACTTTTGATGTTTGTTTCATATACTGGATACAGATTTTATAACTGCACGAGATTTTGTTAATTTTAAATATTATTTCTTTTTCAGTGTTAATAAAGCTGGAAATAAACAATGGATCCTAAAGGTGATCGTTTAAGGAAGATACAGAGTGGTCAACTCAAATTACCGGAATCTGTTCTCAAGGTAATTCTTCGATCTTGCATTTACTGGCGTACATGTATAATATACATGTATACCTGCAATGCTTTTTTGTGTTTTTAAGAAATTTCAATCATCAAATTTCCTGCCCTAAAGAAACTGATTTAAGCTTATGGCAATTAAAAGAAAAGTCTTACAGTAGATATAACAGTGGCTGTCTGCATGTTTATTTACTGTTTACATGTAGTTAGATAAATGATTGTTGTTCACACCATTGAATGAATCGGCTCAATCGGGGATGATTTATTAAAGACATAGATGGTCGATAAACTTGTTTATTTGGCCAACAACATCCATGTTATATATGACATATTTTGTTGTTGTTTTTTTTCTTCAAGATTAGGAATGAAAGTGTTTTGATATGTTTTCTGTGTGAACAATGGACTTATTGTATGTTTAATTTGTTTATGCACATGTAATTAAGTTAATAACTCTTGAATCGTGAAAATTTGATTATATAAATGCAGATATTTTTCAACAGAAAGAACGGTGAAGAAAATAGGTATTGATTTAAAGTCTTTGACCTTATAAAGAAGTTAATTATATTTCTATATTTGGAATTTGGTATCCATGTATGTACAAAACAATGTATGTAAACCCTTTTAAAACTTGGAACTCATTTATTGTTAATGAAAAACAAGTAATGAGGGAACATTGGAAGCATCTGGTCGTTTATATTCTGTAAAAAGACTTTAAAGAGCATCCGTTGTGATCATTAATGCATACAATGAAGATCTTAAAATGTTCCAAAGGATGATTTATGTATAATATAATGTAGTTTAATATTCCTTCTTTCGAGCATTGTTACCCCAGACTTATATTAATTATGCTTATAACATGAGCTAGCTTGCAAAAAAGAACAATTCAGTGCACTCAAGTGTGGTACAGTGTATCCTTATACCCAAGGTTTGAATAAATTATCATGATAATTTGCTGTTATACTTAATACAATGCCTGATCACCTGTGCTTTGTATCACTGAAATACATACATATACTTATTTAAAACTATATAGAATTGGATTTTTCTCAAGAAAATATAAGCTTAAGACTGTAAGGAGGTTAAAGGAGTTTAAACCCTATCAGAGACAAGTGTTTTTTATGAGCAAGAAATTTTTCACTCATTGCTTAGTACTGGTTGGTTCTAGGAACAGATTCAAAAGTGTTTTAGAGTGTTTATAGCTTCCAACACAATTTTTAATAAATTTATATAAACTTCAGAATTTTAGAATTGTTTAGTTTATATTTTACATAGAGAAATTTATTAAAACTACTGAAACTTTGCACTCGTGCTAAATCGCTGGTACAAACAAACACATGATTTCTTTCTTTTGATATCCCTTCATACCCTTGATAATCATCTACCGCACTTTATTTCATGTTTTATGCATTTTACCAGACTGAGAAATCCCATGTTTGTTCATAATTTCACAAGATTTATAATGCACCCTTGAAAATTACCTGAAATAAATGTACATTTTAATAGCCAATTTACTGATGATTTTGTGCTGACTTTTTTTGCAAATGTCTTGTTGAATTACGAAACTTTGTGTCAATTACGAAACTTTGTGTCAATTACGAAACTTTATGTCAATTAAATGCATAGATTCTAAATATCGAGTAGAACAGGAGACTTGAGAGAGAGTTGAGTGGAGAGCAGACTATGTTTGGATAATGCTTGTCATTGATGAATGTCTTATTTTGATACTGTTAAAGACGTCAATGGAATTGAATTGTTCAAGATGAAAGATAATATCAGGATTTACTCGTCAACGGAGACAAGTGAATCCATCACCACCAGAAATAGTCATACATTCATCATTGTATATAGACTGTCTTCCTCAGGGCTTCTTTTCTCTGTTTATAAAGAAAGTCTCCTTGGCCTTTTATGTAAATAGGTTTAATCTTCGGTAATTTGCATGAAAGTAAGTTTGTTTGTTACTTGATTTATTATTGTATTTATATGGTAAAGATTAGAATGATTTTAATATGTCTAACTAGATAGACTAATACACATATATATACATGTATAATGTATTCATTATAACGTAGATGATGTTATAGGCTGTAAAAGCTGATAAATTTTCAAGAGGTTACTTTAGCATTTCTGGAAACAAATCAAATGGATAGAATATTATTTATATATCTATATTTTTATGTATTGGAGAGGTTTTAGTCACCCTTTTGCTGTTAAAAAGTCATAAATATAGCACCTTTTGAGCTTTACTGGTTAATTGAGGAAGACCTCAGGTGCTTCTCTTTGCTAATTATTGCAGGCATATGTGGGCATTTGAGAAGGGCAATCACTGACCTTTTTGTGATTATTGATATATTCTTCACTTAAAAGAGTTCAAAGACCAAAAGAAGTTGTATATAACAAAGAGACTTGCAGCATTGAATGCTTTTGAATTCTCATAATTTGTCCCCTTATTGCAGTAACAGGGTAACTCTTCATCTAATTTTATAGGAGTTAACCTGTTACAACAATAGGGTGGAAGATTGTTGAAGGAAATATTGACAAAATACTTGTATAATAATATACCAAGATAGTAATATGTTCCATTGAATCAATCCTATTTCAAGGTTGACAAAATGCTGATGATGTCTAGAGAGATGGAATTTTTACTTACATTTTTGCCTTGTACAGTCTGATAGAGACCTTTTACTTACATTTTTGCCTCATACAGTCTGATAGATTTTTATGCTAGTTGTTAAGTAAAATACTCCTCATCTAAAAAGGTTTAGTGTTATAATGAGATGCACAATAATGGATATTGTATAGATAAGGCAGTGTTGAGAGTGCCTTTATAGGATCCGATAAAAGTGATGTCGGACGTTATCAGTCCAAATTCTGGAATCGTTTCAGTACTTAATGTATTTGATTATGAATATGATGTAATTTATAATGTATCGTTAAAAGATTGGTATTTTTCTAGAAGAAAAAGTCTTAATTTCCTTCAGTTATCTGATGTTTTAAGAGTATTATTTTCCTTTTCCTTTCTAAACTTATGTGATAGACTTTAACATAGTCCATTATTAGTTTCACCAGTTGCATTCAGCTTATATTAAATGGCGGTTAAAATAATAATAATAATATCTTTATTTCCAATGTGGCCTTCAGGAGTAGGAGAACAACAACAACAGCAGAATATGCATGATGGACATATAATTACCAGATATATGCCCTTAACATGTATAATAAGACTACACAGTTATGATTAATCACTTTCATTACATAGCTATGAATTATGACTGACATTGAGTCAAGCTCGCTAATTGTTGTTTAATTCCAATGTTTAGATTACCAAAATCCTTTTTAGTAACATAAACAATAATGATTTGCTGTTACTGTTATAATGTCAGTGCAGAACGAATCCATTAAATTGAAATTTAGCATTGTAAAGATATTTCAATTGAGGGAAAGAGACGTAAGGGCTTAAATTGAAACAAATGGTTAATGGATACTTCTGGGAAGGAGTATGAAAAAAAACCTAATGTAAAATTGTTTTGCGAAAATTGCATGATTATCAGAGAGGTTGTTCGATAAGAAAACTGCCTGTGAAAAGCCAGTGTCAGTGAAGCAAAGAAAACCTGGTTTAATACGACTTGAGTTTTATCTGTTTTCTGCAAATAATTGGGGGAAAAAACTAAACTGAAACCTTGCACAGACGTTATTTCAGTACATTTTGTATATATAAATATGTTACTACATTAACCTATGGAACACCCTTTGATGTAAAATCCATACAGAAATAATGCAGTGAATGGCTGATGTAAAAACCTTGCTTTTTTGTTGCTATTTAATTTGCTATCTTGAAAGAGTACATCCATGATTTATTCAGCAATTGTGGTAATTTAATTCTAGTACAATGGTTATTTGATAACTGATAATTGTATCAGACAAAACTACTACTGGAAGAGGTCTTAACATAGATTTTTTCCAAGCAGTTTTACAACCCCTGCATTGCATGTCGAAAATACTTCAGTCCTAAGAAAGTGCCATGTCATGTCCTTAATTTTTGAAGCAATCAATGTCGTCGTCCAATTTAAAACAAAAAGGAGGGAGGAAAAAAAGCTGCGATGAAACGAGGAGAGTAGGCCGCAATTGGTTACTGTCGTTTTGTTTTTTCTCCAGTTTTAATTATCATTGATCGATGGCTGTTGAAAATAATGTATTTCAAGTTGTCAGTTACTTCATTAAAACTTCATGAGGGACTGTGCTGTCATGTCTTTAAAAAAAGGACGTTGCGCCCTTTTATGTTTAGAGGTTTCAGGAATGTTTTTTTCATGCTGAGCTGTTAGAAAGAATTTTACGTGTTCATGTGAAACATGTATAATGTAAATTTCAAGCATTTTTGGTTTCGCTTCTAAAGTTACAGACAATTAGAATAAGGATTGGTATAAATACATACAATTATGGACGGAGTGTCTCCTATTTATGATACTATGGTAAGAATATTATTTATATCAAGTATATTTATAGAAAGCATATTACATGATCATTTTGAGCTTTGAAGTACTTATTATTAGGTATAATGCTTTTTGGCACACCAGTCCTCAAATTTACATGAAATTTTTGTATGTATTATCATCAGTTGATGATGAAAGTAAGAAGTTTTATGGGGGTAGAAGTTATATTGTGATAGTTTGAGCTGTACTTCTTTTATGAGGCAATTTAAGGTGAACTTCAGAGTTGGTCAATAGTTATTATAGTGATATATCCTTCCCATTTCTCCATTGCTAATTTAAGGTAGGGCAATAGACTTGTATTGCTTTCAATTTAGAACTGTTCATTGTTATTTTAAAGGGACTTTTTACCTTAACCCAAGTTACCCTGCTTTGACCAGAAGTAATTAGCCTTTGCCACCAGTAGGGAGCCAGGTCAGTCACTAGTAAGGAGTCAGGCCAGTCGGCATGTCTGCATTTTGGCAAGGCTCTAAATTCAGTTGACTGTTTAAATTTTTAACTTATTATCCTCAAATAGATA